CTACATGGGGTGTTCCTGAGGCTGCTGCTACATCAGCTCTCTCTTGTTGATCTCGTTCATGTTCTTGACGTCGTTGCTGAACAAACAGGATTGCTTCAGGACTAGTCACTGTTACTTCTGGAAGTAAATCCATCCAAGACTCAATAAGTCTATTGCCAGTGAGTTGAAATCTAGTCATCCACTTCTGAAGATCCATGGTTCCTCTATTGAACTTCATGAACTGCATGAAACGGTATAAGAACACGTTTTGGGCACCTTTGATGAAATGAGGTCGTAGAAATCTTTTGAAATACGCAACTCCTTCATAGGGATCCCTGAGCATTTCTCTATCCAATAGTCTCTTGTATTGTTGAGCATCTCCTTCCAGTCTATTGCGCAAGGCTGGACCACGTTTCTCTGGTTCTAACTCCGTAATATCACACCAGTCATCGATTGCATCCTCAAAAGCAAAGAAGCTGGTTCTCCCATCATATGCTGGAGCTACCTTTGTGGTCATTTGTTGCGTCATATGAATCTGTGTCTGCTGGGGTGCTCTTCTCATTGCATAAGAGTCATATTGGTTCCATTCATTTGCATCGACAATGTCGAAGTCATCATCATCATAGCCATGGCTTGCCATTGCTTGGGCTCTACCTGGAGCTCACCCTCAATGAGGGATCACAGCTCCGCTACCACTTGAAGAGGGGCCCTAGCGTCTACTTCAAGATCAGCTAAGGCGTCTTCCCCAATGACCGCACTTGTTTTACTCAGCCTGTTGCCGGTCCGTGCTTGTCTACAGGGTTACTCTATATACCTCTTGAGCCTTGAAGGGCGCATATAAATGTGCTCAATACTCATGCATGTACCTATGTAGGTATTAGGTCGAAACAAAAACATGGGGTGAAGAGGGGCCCTAGCGTCTACTTCAAGATCAGCTAAGGCGTCTTCCCCAATGACAGCACTATTTTACTCTCAGCCTGTTGCCGGTCAGTGCTTGTCTATACCTCTTGAGCCTTGAAGGGCGCATATAAATGGGACATTGGTCGCTTGTGACCCTAATCACTGTTTCTACGTTTTGAAGTAAAAAAGATAGGGTCACAAGTGACCAGGTGTGCTCGAAGTCCCACACCTGCCACACGAAAATGGTGCGGCCCCTTTGTGGTCGCCTGTGACCCTATTCGTGCCCGAAGCATGATTTTTGGAGGAAGTCTCGCAGAAAAGCTTCGTTTTTGAGTTTCGGTAGCTTCATTTTTGAAGGAAGTCTCGCAGAAAAGCTTCGTTTAGGGCTTCGAAGAAGGTTTTGAGTTTGGAAAGCTTCAGTTTTGAAGGAAGTCTCGCAGAAAAGCTTCGTTTTAGAGCTTCGAAGCTTCATTTTTGGAAGGAAGTCTCGCAGAAAAGCTTCGTTTAAGGGCTTCGAAGCTTCATTTTTGAAGGAAGTCTCGCAGAAAAGCTTCGTTTAAGGGCTTCGAAGCTACATGTCATTTATCTATCTATCTATCTATCTATCTATCTACCTATCTAATTATCTATCTATCTATCTATCTATCTATCTATCTATCTATCTATCTATCTATCTATCTATCAATCTATCTCTCTCTATCTATCTCTCTCTATCTATCTTGTTATCTTATCTTATCTCATCTTATCTTATCTTATCTTATTTTATCTTATCTATCTATCTATCTCTCTCTCTATCTATCTTGTTATTTTATCTTATCTTATCTCATCTTATCTTATCTTATCTCATGCTATCTTATCTTATCTTATCTTAACTTATTTTATCTTATCTATCTATCTATCTATCTATCTATCTATCTATCTATCTATGTACCTATCTATCTATCTATCTATCTATCTATCTATCTATCTATCTATCTATCTATCAATCTATCTCTATCTATCTATCTCTCTCTATCTATCTTGTTATCTTATCCCATCTTATCTTATCTTATCTATCTATCTATCTATGTATCTATGTATCTATGTATCTATCTATCTATCTATCTATCTATCTATCTATCTCTATCTATCTATCTCTCTCTATCTATCTTGTTATTTTATCTTATCTTATCTCATCTTATCTTATCTTATCTCATGCTATCTTATCTTATCTTATCTTAACTTATTTTATCTAATCTATCTATCTATCTATCTATCTATCTATCTATTTATCTATCTATCTATCTATCTATCTCTCTATCTCTCTCTATCTCTCTATCTATCTATCTATCTCTCTCGCTCTCCCTTTCTATCTTGTTATCGCTGTATCTCTTTACCTCAACTTCTAAAAACGGTCCGAACATGGTGTGTTTTGTACATGTTGACTCTCTCTCTCTCTCTTTCTATCTCTTTATCTCTCTATCTCTCCATCTCAACTGCTAAAGGCGGTCCGAACATGTTGGTTTTTGTGCATGTTGACTTCGAAATGGACGTCACGCCACAACGGCGTGCAATTTTGTATTTCTCATCTGGGCAGCTGGCTCCGCGCCCGCCGCTGTAGCGAGCTTACTTGTCGACCCTCCGGAGCCACAAGGCATTGGAAAACACTACCTTTTGGCTCCTCTGCATCTTCTTTCTTCTGACTCGTTCTCTTCTCTGATCTGCTCTCTTCTACTCTTCTCTTCTCTCTGCCTCTTCCCATCTCTGCTTTTCATCTGCCCATATTGTCGGAAGTTTGATTTCGAAACTTCCTTCGATAATGCAAAATATATTCACGAAGAAAGTTATACACAGACAAACTCGCGGCCAGACAATTATACAGAAAGTTGCGGCCAACCTTAGCAATCCATGCGTCGGTGATGCACTGAATTTCACCACCATTGACAATGGTATAGTATGATAGTATACTGTTATATCCATGCATGTCCATCTATTTGTCCATTAGGGCATTAGGGCATATCCATTCACATTGTACATGGGTTGTACAAGTCTCGTGACCTTCCAATATGTTGCACTGTGGTGCTCAAGTGATTGCTGAAATCCTGGGAGAAAGATTAGTTTGTGAAGTTCATGCGCGCACTTGCGCTAAAGAACTTTCAAATCGCATGTGCCAAGTTGCAGTCCTCAATTGTGCCAAATTTGGTATTGTGTCGTCCGCAGTGGCATTTTGCCAAGGCAGAAGGTGGGTGCAGCATCACGTAGACAAGAAACATATAGTTACGTATTAGGCTTCAATCTGCTTCATGTCGTATCACCGTAACGAGTCAAGTAATGATGTAAGTACGATGATCCGTCCCCCCTAACCAAACCCTAAATGGCTGAGTCAAGTAATGATGTAAGTAGAATGATCCCTCCCCCCCAACCAAACCCTAAATGGCTGAGTCAAGTAATGATCTAAGTTGAATGATCCCTCCCCCCCAACCAAACCCTAAATGGCTGAGTCAAGTAATGATGTAAGTAGAATGATCCCTCCCCCCCAACCAAACCCTAAGTGGCTGAGTCAAGTAATGATGTAAGTAGAATGATCCCTCCGCCCCAACCAAACCCTAAATGGCTGAGTCAAGTAATGATCTAAGTTGAATGATCCCTCCCCCCCAACCAAACCCTAAATGGCTGAGTCAAGTAATGATGTAAGTAGAATGATCCCTCCCCCCCAACCAAACCCTAAATGGCTGAGTCAAGTAATGATCTAAGTACAATGATCCCTCCCCCGCAACCAAACCCTAAATGGCTGAGTCAAGTAATGTATAACCCCTCCCCCCCAACCAAACCCTAAATGGCTGAGTCAAAGTAATGATCTAAGTACAATGATCCCTCCCCCCAACCAAACCCTAAATGGCTGAGTCAAGTAATGTAAGTAGAAATCCCTCCCCCCCAACCAAACCCTCAAATGGCTGAGTCAAGTAATGATCTAAGTACAATGATCCCTCCCCCCCAACCAAACCCTAAATGGCTGAGTCAAGTAATGTATAACCCCTCCCCCCCAACCAAACCCTAAATGGCTGAGTCAAGTAATGATGTAAGTAGAATGATCCCTCCCCCCAACCAAACCCTAAATGGCTGAGTCAAGTAATGATCTAAGTTGAATGATCCCTCCCCCCCAACCAAACCCTAAATGGCTGAGTCATGATGTAAGTAGAATGATCCCTCCCCCCAACCAAACAATTGCATGGTGGAGAAAAGGAGACAATTGCATGGTGGAACGCAGGGGGGGTGAGAGTTTTTAAAGGAATAGGGTCGCAAGTGACCGTTTTTTAGGGTCGCAAGTGACCGGGGATTTTAGGGTCACAAGTGACCGTTTTTTAGGGTCGCAAGTGACCATGGACCCATATAAATGTGCTCAATACTCATGCATGTACCTCTGTAGATATTAGGTCGAAACAAAAACATGGGGGGGGAGTAATAAGGTTCAAACAATTCATCGAACAATAGCACCAAACATTCGAACAATTCATCGAAACTCAACATGGCTCCGAAGGAAATCTAATTATGCTGCTCCAATAAAACACACAACTTTATTTCTCTTTCCAACAAATCACAAGTTCAAAAATCCTGCTAATTTTTCCGCGGGATCCCGCGAAAAAATCTTGTTCGCAAAACATGAACCTGGTTCAAACAATCATCCCTTATCATGCAAACATCTTGCAAATGCTAATGTGAAACCAATGAAAAACACTGAAAATACCATGAAATTTCCTCCTACTAAACGGCTGCGGATGGACATACATGATCTTAACATATGTTACCCTTCTTGCAAACTCATTCCGACTCACGGCAACCCCCCCCGGCAAACCCAACATGTTGCAACACTGCATGATTTGAGGCCTCCCTTCCTGGAAGGTTTGGGATTCCAAATATAGACCATGAAGGAATTGGAGATCCTTTTCCTTCTCGACCATGCTTGCCTCCAATTCTCTTGTCCTCTTATCCGTCATTTAGCAGGGCAGGACAGAGATAACGTGTTTCCACATTCAGGATTCTCTGTCGTTTGAGGAGTTAGCATGAGTGAGCTGCATTTCTCACAGAGATTCCCTGCTTTCTCATAGTTTCCAGGGCCCTGATAGTGTCACTACTGTCACTGAGGTACAATACCATGGTGGGTGAAGGTGGTCATGATTTGAGCGGCGGCCAAAAGCAACGCTTAAGCATTGCAAGAGCGCTGGTGAGAAGGCCGAGGGGCCGGCTCCGGCTGTGTCTGTAGTAAACTATGACTGACTAACTTCAAAGATCCTATCAACAATTGCAAAAACAGGAATGTTAGATAGAAGGACTATGAATAAACATGGATAATTTAATTAGTGCGTATTTAGTGGATGAGTAGTGGATAATTAGTGGATATAGTTCATCAGCTAATCGATCAGAAGTCAGATAAGATTACGATAAGATCAAACAAGATCAACCAAGTGGATGCACATCGATGCCCCGCACAGAACATCAAATGGAACAGCATGGAACAGCAGACAGATTGCATACAGATTGCCAAAGCACAGCCGGGAAATTGCAGAAACTCAGATGGGATCTCTGCGCCGGGAGGCCACGAATCCTCCTGTTGGATGAAGCGACATCCGCGTCACTTGGTGTCGCACTACGCACTTGTGGGACCTGTGGGACCACCCGAGCCTTGCTGACTCCGACAGAAGGCTTCCAAAGTTTCAAAGTTTGAAATTATAAAGGATGCGCTTGAGACGGTGATCCCATTTTTCCAACTTATCTAAAATTACATCTACACAAGATTCAGCTGTATTTTTCTATATTTTTCTCATCAACATCACCGTGCTTCTAGGCTGGATGCAGAGAATGAGGCATACGTGCAGGCAAGGCAACACGCTTGGAAAGGACGATTGATTGTGCTAGGCTGCTAGGCAAACTCTTCTGTGCATTGCGGTGGGGTATGAGTCACTTCATGCAGAACCAACACGTGTTTGATGTGTTTCATGGCAGACAACTCCTAGGTCCTAGTTGTTTGCGATGATTGCGATGAGTTATAAAAAGTTCATGGAATGGATAGATTGGATGCAGGCAGCGCTAGATGACCTGATGAAGCAGATGCAAGGCACTTGTGACTTGGCGACCACTGTCCCGGCTTCAAGGAGTTTGGCCCCATAGCCGACGCGATGGAACAAAACATTGTCAAATCCTTAAAGGACACCTGCATTCATGATGACATTGATTTATATAATACTACTTTATTCACTTGTGTATGCTGATGTTTGGAGGCAAGTACTCAAGTAATTCCTATCAATGACATTGACAGTCAGAAGCAGACGATTTTCAGCTAGATTTTTTCAGGATCCCTCATCCCCTGCTCTGCAACTCTAGGTATTTGAATCGCCTTGGAATCTCAAGTTCCAAAATCCTCTCAATGCATCCAAGTGGTTCTTCCAACTAATGACCTGTGCGCTTGCAAATGCTGTGGGTCACTGAGGTACCATCATGATCATTGCTCATCGCCTTTCGACCATCAAGGATGCAGACTGGATCATTGTGTTGCACGAAGGTGCCTGAAGCTATTGCTTTGTCAGGTTGAAGATGGCTGAAACTCTTTTGGCATTCACAGCAGCCTTAAACATCCTTTAAAAGTCAGACTCCATAGTTCTTCAAGAACCATCCATAGTTCATCATAATTCCATATAATTCCATAATCCATATTTACTGTAAACATTATTTAATCCATAACTTCTTTCAAACGTTATCTTTCAACGGCTGGCAGTACGATGGAGAACTTGTCACCATATTTGCGAGGTCAAGTCGCAGAGGAGGGCTCACATGAGCAGTTGCTTCAAATCAAGGACTCTTTAAAGATCTGAAATCAGTCGCACCGAAGATCTGTACAGATCTGTGCCAGATCAGATATGATCAGATCATTCTTTAAAGATCTTTATATGAAGTACGTGGCGAGCAATTCATTCAGATTCTTTGGGCTAAGAGGTTTCTGGTTTTTCATTCTAATGCTTTGAGTTGGACAGATTGTTCAAAGGTTTTGTAGCAGCGAGTACCTATTTCGGTCTTCTGCGAATTTTGCGGGAAATATATACTATGGCACGGAAACTGTCTGACAGCATGGGGAAGCCGTCCCGTAGCCCATTGGACAGCAGATTTTTTGGCTTCTGGCTTCGCTCAAGAGTGTAGGCATCCTTGACACGAAACACGATGGGATGATGGTGTCATTGCTGCGTCCTGTCAATCCTTCGACAGAGTCCACTCATCTCAGAGTGCCATTGAAAATTCAATTGGGATTGTTATTTGCCAACAACATCAACAACTTGAGCTCAGATGATCTCAGTAGGTTTGATAAGGCATAGCTCGTCGTGCCTCCAGTTCCCGCAGGATGGGCGCTATGCTACTCTGATAAATCGCCAATTGAATGGTGCCTTGACAGAAGGACATACGTCGAGGACACAAGAAAGGCATAATATCTTAGTTCTGAGATGTCCAGCTCTACGTTACCTTGTGTTGGTCACTGGCAGAATGCAGTTCAAAAAGCAGAAAGTACCTACATGTTCTGTATCACAACTGCCGGCACGTCATGTTCTTTTTCTATTGGACCTGCTCTTTCATTGACTTAACTGTTGTGCGTTGCACATTGTTGTTTTGACTTGCCATGACCCCACTTTTGGAGATGCAACTTCATGCAACAGGTGCTGCAACACACCACAAGTCATGCCATTTGTGCCGTGCTGGTGCTTCCTTTTTGCTTGCATGTTTGAGGAAATGATGATGGAGACGGCGCCGGAGAGAATGGAGATGGGAAGAAGACGGTGCGATGTCAAAAGATGACTTTCCGATACCGGACATTTCTCCACGTGTAAAAAACTTGCTAAATGCACTGAAGGCTCCCTGCATACACTGTCTGTCACCATTCTGTTGAATTCTGTTCCATGAGTTGCAAAGACAACATGGATTATGGCTTCAGACGATTGATTCCACTGACGCTCTTTGAGTGTACTCTGATACTCCTCTGAAAACCGCTTTCTTCGACAGTCGATGGGAACGTGCCTTCGACAACAGCACGATTCTATGTTCAGACGAATTAAGCGCAGGTCTCGCAGGCATTGAAAGAAATGCTTCAAATTTTGGCAGCGGTGCCAAAGGAGAAAAGAATGGAGCTCTTCATGGGAGTCCTGGCAAGCACGGTCACTGAGTCACTAAATGCCACTACTAAGTCACTAACCATCAACAACAATCGCAATGTCAAGGTGACACGAGCATCCACAAATCATGCAATCTGTAATTCTGGTTTTCGAACGATCATACTATTTCTATCTATTTTTGACTTTGTTGGCACCACGATGTATGATTGAGAATTGAGACAATATCTTGGGCAAGAGTGAAACTTCAGCATCACTTTATGACTTTTGAAACCTGCAGATCGTCGCCTTCTCAGGATTTGCTAAGGAAGCAAAGAAGCAGAGCTGAGCACGTTTACCTTGGATTTGTTGAATGAGGAAACAACAGAGACAACCGCACACATAACACGTCCAACAAAGACACCCCTCAAGTTGCTTGTTGGTAGCGTTTATCATGGAATCAGGAACTGCAGTTGATATCAAACATCCTTTCCTTTTCAGAATAGATACGTGTCTCTTAGGGGCTTGCTTTCGCTTCTGTCATCACTGAATCACAATCTGTAGAGCATAAAGTCTTTGGCAGAATGGCTGCACTTCACTGTACAGATGTGGAGGCGCACCTTCGTCTTGGAGGCAACAAGCTAGAGACTCCTCAATTTTCTGGCAGGAAAGCTGCACATCGCTGTATAGAGCTTTGAGTGACACAAGCCCGGTCAGCAAGCATCAGCAAGCGCTGGACATTCGCAGATGTTTGCCCACGCTCAAAAAAGGGTATGTAACACGATGCTGCTGGTTGGCTGCATAGATTCTACTATACAGCCTATTTGCCAAGACATGAGCCCATTCCACATCATTGTATTCTTGGTTGGGCGAAGAGAGTTCTGCAGAATTTATGCAAAGAAAATGCTCCCTGCCCTGTCCGTCGTTTTCTAAGGCTGCATATGTCTGAGAGGCTTTACATTGGCACACCCCCAGGGGTTGTCATGGGTTCTCGCCTCAGACTGATCTGATTCCATAACACACGGCGCTTGACAGGTTCCTGTTGTGTTGGAGTCGCAATATTCTCCATTGTGACATAGTGGAGTAACATAGTGCGCATGGATGTTCATGTACAGTTTTAGGGCATGAAAAGCATGCACGACACAAGATCACAAGAACACCTTGCGTATTTTTACCGCAGCGCTTGAGCCTCAACGGAAAAAACACGCCTGTGTTTTCAAGGGGAGCGACTCGGCTCTTTCCCCAGGGACGCGTTTAGCTTAGCCCCGGGCCCCGATACTCTTCCTTGCCTCTGACGGCAAAGCCCGTTCCTTCATTGGGACACCTGACCTGCGCAAATCTCCATGGACCGTTGGACTACTCCTGTAGTCAACAAGACCCCTTGTACCACTCCCGGTGGACATGGAAAGACCAAAGTCACTTGTACCACTACCGTGGACAAGAGAGAGCAGAAGATCAATCGTGAACTATGGCAGTCAATTCGCTAAGGTTTGTGCCGAGCAATGATGTCGAAGTAGTGTTCAATACAAGGGTTTATGATCTGCAATGGCAGCGTTGCTGACTTCCATGAATGCGAATTTCGGTTGCAGGCACGTTACCAGGCGACCAAGCAAGATGAAAGATCAGAACTCGGTAGTAAAGTCTTGGAAAGTCTGTGTGGAGATGCTTTTCTCATCGCAGAAGAACTTGGAATGAGTGTGCTGAAACAATCTGATGCCGCAGTACAACCCATCGAAGCTGTGCGAAACCATGTATTCCCGCTGAAAGAACTTGAAGCAAAGGAACTGTACAAGATGGGAACCTCTTCCTCAGGAATACTCTCTCGCCAGACAGGTGAGACGATGACGAGCTACATCTCGCGTCCTCGCCGCTGGTACCTTTAGGACGGATGCAACTTATCCTACTTATAAGTGCTCTTTAAGTAGGTTGCAAATAGACTAACAAGGGGTTTAAGTTGTTTCTAAGTAGGATAAGTAGACTGAAGTACTTAAACTACTTACAGCTAGTTTTAAGTAGAAGCAAGTTGGTTATGCTACTTAACACAGTGGAAATAAGTAGATGGGGGTGCGTTTGATGTAAGTAGAGCAAGTAACTTATGGTTACTTACTTCTACTTATTTCTACTTATTACCACTTAACCTAGTTAGCGTTTTCTTGTGTATTTTGAATGGTTGCTTTCTGGTTCAGATTTCGGGTTTTGTTTTTCCAAGGTTTAGAGTTGCTAGTTTTGTTGATTAAAGTAGAAAATAGTGTGTTTTCACGTTTTTTGGGTGGAACCGAGAGAAGGCAAGAGAAAAGCATGTTTTGGTCTATATATTGTTCAAGGGTTTACGTGTTTTTTGACAGCAAGCTTTGAAGCGGTGTGCCCGCTATATGCTTATTTTTTTGGGGGGGGAGGTTCCAGAAACAAGGTCTTGTCTTGATGTTTTTTATCATTTGAGCGGTCTGGCCGCTGCTTTTCAAGAACGGACGGTGGCAAACATGTGAATAGATTACATTTAAATTTAGAGTTAAACGCTGTATTAGAAAACCGTCGGTATAAATATGCATAAACTTGAATTGACTTTAACGTACATAAAACATAATAGATACATGTGAGATAGCACGAAAAGACCGGTTTGCTTGCCATGGATCGGCATGTCACACCGGAGCCGCTGCCAGAAGAGTCACCTGCTCTCAACCCGGCTGAACCTCCGGCAGCAGTGGATATCTATATAGCTCCTACCTCGAAGCAACAGGCGCTGGAAGCGACCAAAGCCCTGAACGGTGCTGACGCATAGGTGGCTCCTAGACCGAAGAAGCGGCTTCCTCCTCCACCCAAGGCACGACCTAGACCTGGAGGAGAAGCTTCTGGAAGTGGATACCCCAAGGCTAAAGCTTTAGCAGTGCCTAGAGAAGCCTTGTTAAGCGTACCGCCCAAGGTTGGAGTAGTAGTAAAGGCACCGTCCCTGGTTGAAGAAGCTTGTGCGAAGTTTAAGGCTGTCGTTGGACGTGATCGCCCCGCTACCCTTCGTGTTCAGGACTAATATAGAGGGTGGCCGGTGAGAGGCAGAAGAACGAAACTAAATAGAGTTCATGGCTCGTATGTCATTTCTTCAAAATCATTGAAAGATGGCTAGAATAAGATCATATACATATATGTATGTATGTATGTATGTATATATATATATTCACGAACAAAATCATATATGTGTCACGCAGCGGTGTGTCCGCTTTTGGAAAATTGTGTTGAGTATATTGTGTAGTAGGAGATGAAACAGCTCCGTGGCATGCGCCACCGAAAGCAAGAGCTTCTACAACGGCGGCTTCTAGTTCGAGCACGGCAGCTCCGTGTCATCTGCCTCCGAAAGCAATAGCTTCGACAAGGGCGGCTTCTAGTTTGTCCACTGCTGCTCCACCTGCACATGTGCCTCCGAAAGCAGTAGCTTCGACAACGGCCTCAGCCAGTTCGACCGCTCCTCTGGAGGCACCTGCTGAATCAAAGGCGTTACAAAGCTTACCGCCTGTGGCGAAAGACGGTCCACGGGTAAAGATGGGGGCGGTCCGAAGGTATGTTCCTTTGATTAGAATTAACATTTTTTCGGTAGATAAACACATGTTGTTTGGTTCCGAATATCCATATATATCTATCTATCTATCTATCTATCTATCTATCTATCTGTAACATTTTTTCGGTAGATAAACACATGTTGTTTGGTTCCGAATATCCATATATCTATCTATCTATCTATCTATCTTTTTATCTATCTATCTATCTATCTATCTATCTAACGATCTATCTATCTATCTATCTCTCTCTCTCTATCTATCTATCTATCGATCGATCGATCGATCGATCGATCTATCGATCTATCGATCTATCGATCTATCGATCTATCTATCTATCTGTCTGTCTATCTATCTATCCTAGCTATCTATCTATCTATCTATCTCTCTCTCTTTCTATCTATCTATCTATCTATCTATCGATCTATCCATCTATCGATCTATCGATCTATCGATCTTTCGATCTATCGATCTATCGATCTTTCGATCTTTCGATCTATCTATCTATCGATCTATCGATCTATCGATCTATCGATCTATCGATCTATCGATCTATCGATCTATCTATCTATCGATCTATCTATCTATCTATCTATCTGTCTATCTATCTATCTATCCTAGCTATCTATCTATCTATCTACCTATCTATCTCTCTCTCTCTCTCTTTCTATCTATCTATCTATCTATCTAGATCTATCGATCTATCGATCTATCGATCTATCTATCTATCTATCTAACCTATCTAATCTATCTAATCTATCTAATCTATCTAATCTATCTAATCTGTCTATCTTAGCTATCTCTCTATCTATCTTATCTGTCTATCTTATCTTTCTTTTCTATTTATCTTATCTCTCTTATCTATCTATCTATCTATCTATCGATCTATCTGTCTATCTATCTATCTATATCTATCTATCCATCCATCTATCTATTTATCTATCTATCTATCTACCTATCTATCTATCTATCTATCTGTCTATCTATCGATCTATCGATCTATCTATCCATCTATCTATCGATCTATCGATCTATCGATCTATCTATCTATCTATCTTTCTATCATCTATCTATCTATCTATCTATTTATCTATCTATCTATCGATCTATCTATCTATCTATCTATCTATAGCTATCTATAGCTATCTATCTATCTATCTATCTATCTATCTATCTATCTATCTATCTATCTATCTATCTATCTATCTATCTATCTATCTATCTATCTAATCTATCTATCTAACCTATCTATCTATCTATCTATCTGTCTATCTATCTATCTATCTATCTGTCTATCTATCTATCTATCTATCTATCTATCTATCTATCTATCTATCTATCTAATCTATCTAATCTATCTAATCTATCTAATCTATCTAATCTATCTAATCTATCAAATCTATCTAATCTATCTAATCTATCTAATCTATCTAATCTATCTAATCTATCTAATCTATCTAATCTATCTAATCTATCTATCTATCTATCTATGTATCTAATCTATCTAATCTATCTAATCTATCTAATCTATCTAATCTAATCTATCTAATCTAATCTAATCTATCTAATCTATCTATCTCTCTATCTATCTATCTATCTGTCTGTCTATCTACCTATCTATCTATCTATCTCTCTCTCTCTCTCTATCTATCTATCTATCTATCTTTCTCATCTGTCTATCTTATCTATCTTATCTATCTCTCCTTTTCCGTTTGGTGAACACAAATCGGGAGTTTCAGAATACGGTGAAGGATCACTTTGATTTGTGCTCGGGTTGCCTGCCCCGCCAGAAGAATCTTTCTTTTCTCTTTTTCGGACGGCCTTGCATGTAGTAGGGTGGAAGTGGGTCTC